GCTGCGAGTTAGTGCTGAGAAGCTGCTTTTCCAAGTAGATGCGGAGAGCGGGGACTTGCTCGTGAAGGACCGAATAGACCGTGAGCAGATTTGCAGGGAGAGAAGATGTGAGTTGCAGTTGGAAGCCGTGGTGGAAAATCCTTTAAACATTTTTCATATCACTGTGGTTGTTGAGGATATTAATGATCATGCTCCCCAATTCCATAAAGATGAAATACACTTAGAAATCAGTGAATCTGTCAGCCCGGGGACGGGAACAATTCTTGACTTTGCAAAAGATCCCGATATTGGTATGAATTCATTGAGCAAATATCAACTAAGTCCTAACGAGTATTTCTCGTTGGTGGTGAAAGACAATCCCGATGGTGTCAAATATCCGGAATTAGTACTGAAGAAGAGCCTGGATCGAGAAACGCAGAGCGCTCACCGCTTGGTGCTGACAGCCTTAGACGGTGGGGTTCCGCCACGAAGCGGCACCGCTCAGATCCAAATCCTGGTGGTAGACGCCAACGATAACCCTCCCGTGTTCAGCCAAGACGTGTATAGGGTTAGCCTTCGGGAAGACGTGCCGCCAGGCACCTCGGTGCTGAGGGTGCGCGCCACTGATCAAGATGAAGGCTTCAACGCTGAGATCACCTACTCCTTCCTTGCTGTGGCGGATAAAGCCCAGCACGTGTTCTCTCTGGACTCAGTTACAGGAAACATTATAACTCACCAACCCTTGGATTTTGAAGATGTAGAAAGATATACCATGGATGTAGAAGCAAAGGACCGAGGATCCCTCTCTACACGGTGTAACGTAATTATAGAAATTCTAGACGTAAATGACAACAGCCCAGAAATAATCATCACTTCTCTCTCTAGTCAGATTTTGGAGGATTCCCCTACAGGAATGGTTGTGGCTCTCTTCAAAACACGGGACCAGGATTCCAGGGAAAATGGAGACGTCACATGTAATTTAAGTGGAGATGTTCCATTTAAGATTCATTCTTCTTCTAATAATTACTACAAGCTTGTAACAGATGGGGCCCTGGACCGGGAACAGACCCCAGAGTACAATGTCACCATTACAGCCACCGACAAAGGCAAGCCGCCCCTCTCCTCCAGTAGAAGCGTAACCCTACACATAGGCGACGTCAATGACAACGCTCCGTTTTTCCAACAGTCAGCCTACTCGGTCCATGTGCCAGAAAACAACCCGCCCGGTGCCTCCATAGCGCAAGTCAGCGCCTCCGACCCTGACCTGGGGCCCAACGGCCACGTCTCCTACTCCATCGTGGCCAGCGACCTGGAGCC